GACAGACCAGGAGAGGTGATGACTTGGGAGCAGTTTGACCTGACGAAGCTGACAGGTCAGAGGCCATTTTTTGAGTGCTTGTTTAGAGAGTTAGCTCCAGGGACAGCTAAGGAAGGAGCACACAGGGTCAAGGACTCTGAACTTGTGTTTGTTTTGGAGAGTAAGAGAATAGTTTATCATAGTGTAAGAAATTCAGGGACCAAGCACTCCAAGTCAATAATATATAAACACAATCTGAAGCACTAAAAAAAGAAGAAAACCAAAAGAAAGAAGATTTTCTGTGAAATACAGCCTGGCTGTTCTTTGTGGACCATCTTGCTACAAGGGACCACCCCTGCTCAGTGGCAGCCATCCTTGAACTTGGAGATCTCTTGTGAGGCTGCATAGTCTACAGAAAATATCTGGAATCATAATTTTTTTTATAGAACTGTCCTTATGAGCTTTAATAGCAGTCTTAAATTTTTCTGTGCATATATTCTCAAAAAGGAATTTTAAAGAATTTTGAAAAACTTTGTATTTCCCCATGTTGCTTAATCTAAATTTTGTCATAAACTTAATAATTACAAAATGTATAATATAGACGTTTAAATAATGGAACAGATTTGCTACTCTTTAAAATATTTCCAGTAGCCAAGAACAATGGTACATGCCCATAATCCCCTGTAATTTAGGAGGCTTAGTTAGGAGGATCTCAAATTGGAGTCCAGCCTAGGCAGCTTAGTGAGAACCTCAACAACTTAGCAAGACCTTGTCTCAAAATTTAAAAAAGAGAAAAATTTTAATCAGGGATGTAGCTCAGGGTTAAAGCACACCTGGGTTTGATCCCTAGTACCAAAATAAATAAATAAACTAAAAAGTCTTCAATCCATTTCAAACACTACTTCATCTCCATATCTACCATCAAACTTTTTCAAAGCATATGAGTAAGCCCTTGACATTCCAGGTTCTTTTTTTTAATATTTATTTTTCAGTTTTCGGTGGACACAACATCTTTATTGTATTTTTATGTGGTGCTGAGGATTGAACCCAGCTCCCCGCGCATGCCAGGCGAGCACGTTACTGCTTGAGCCACAACCTCAGTCCCTATTCCAGGTTCTTTGTGCTTTGTGAAATTATGATTCCATTTCATTTTTTCCACATCATTTGAATATTATATATAGATGAGGAATATATGTTACATAAATATCCTGCTGATGTATGAGTGTATGCATATATATCAGTATATATGTTTGAAACAAATAAACTTTATCTTCTAGAGCAGTTTTAGAATTAAAGAAAACTTGAATGGAAAATACAGATAGTTCTCATATAACCCCTGTCCCCACACAAGCACCATCTTCCTCACTATTAACATGTGCTCCATGGTGAACCATTTGTTACAATCAATGAAGCCACATTGAAATATTATGGCCCAAACTTTCCTTAGTGTATACTCTGGGAGTTTTATGCATTTTTACCACTGAATATGACATATAGCGACCATCGTAACATCAACAGAATATTTCCACTGCCCTGAGAATTTTCTGTGCTCTCTCCTCTTAACCCCTAGCAACCACTGATCTTTTTATTGTCTCCATAGTGTTGCCTTTTCCAGTATGTCATGTAGTCTATTTTTTGCTTGAAGTGTTTTTATTGTTCACCCTATCATGCTACTCTGCACAAAAAGTGTTTATAAACTTTTAAAAATTCCTATGTCTTATAAGACTTTAAGTTCAAATTATAGCTGCCTTATAAACGTTTTTTTCCCTTGGTACTGGGGATTAAACCCAGGGTTATTTAACCACTGAGCCACATCCCCAGTCCTTGTTTTGTATTTTATTTAGAGACAGGGTCTCGCTGAGTTGCTTAGGACCTCACTAAGTTGCTGAGGTTGGATTTGAATTTGTGACCTTCCTGCCTCAGCCTCCTGAGCCTCTGGGATTACAGGCATGCGCCATAATGCCCGGCCCTTATAAACTTTTGAGGAAAAGTCAATGAAAATGTTTCCCCATATTGTCAAGGAAATGCAAACCAATAACTTACTCAATTTTTGAAATGACAGAATAAGTAGAGTACTTACTTGCTCTATGGGCTTCCCAACAACCCCATGAGTGGACATCGTTATCATCCTTGTTTTTACAAATAGGGAAACAGAGAACAGAAGTTTAGGAATGTGTGCAGGGTCACACTGAGCTTGGATTGGAAACCATGAATCCAAGCTCCAATATCTGTGCTCTTAACTGTCATGCCAAATGGCCTCTCCATGCTCCTTTCATCTTAAACTGGAGATTAATTATTTGGAGGTAAATATGGAATTTACAACATCTATCTCCTTGAAATCATGCAAAATATACAAAGTGATCTGGTGACCTAGATCAAGAAACCAGTGCATGGGAAGCTCCTGTTTTCAGAGAGTGATGCACAATTCAGGGCACTGTGCTTTAGAGCATGTGGCTATGTGCCAGCAAGATTTCACAAATCTTGAAGAATGGGCAGATGGACAGATAAGGTAGATTGATTTGCATAGGGTTTCTAGGTTCAGTAAAATCCTCCCACCTTTATCACACCTACTGATTCTGCCTCAGCTCTTCTCTCAAGGGATATCCTTTGACAGTGAATATATGACAAGAGACAATTAAACAAATTTTTATTATTCCTGCTGACTCCTTCTACAGTATACACAAATAAATAGCATCTAACACAGACCAAAATTATCAGTTTCTAACACTCAGCCCCTACCAGGAATTTGTATGAGGCAGGAGAGAGAGAAGAAAAAAGAAAGAGGAGAAGGAGGAGGAAGGAGAGTTGTTCTACTTTGGATGAACAATGCCTAAATTAAAAGAGATTTTTTAAGCATCTCTTTATTTGATACCCTGGGATTTTTGTGCCTTGGGAGAAAAAAATATAATAATAAGATAGGAATTAGAAACAAAAAGTTGGTGGGCTGGGACTAGGGCTCAATTATAGAGGCTTTGACTACTATCAAACTTTTTCAAAGCATATGAGTAAATCCTTGTCATTCATGCTCAAGGGCCTAGGTTCAGTCCCAAGTATTGAAAAAAAAAAGTTTGAGTAAAAAAGGGGAATCAGAAAAGGGGAGTCTAATTTGATGGGCTGAACTCAGAGTTCCTCTCAAATACATCGTATGCAAAAAATATGCATGTAAGTTGAAAACCTGGAAAAATAATCTTCATAAAACAATCCATGCCTTCCTAACACAATTTAGAAAGTCTTCATGCCTCTCCAAGAATATGGGTCACAGATGTCATATGAAGATCACTGAGTGAAACAACCATGCAAAGGTCTAGATGGTAGATGCTTCTACCCTGTCCACTTCCTGGACTTTTTCTTGGGTCAAATGTGCTGAAGGGCTGAGGCACTGTTAGGTTAAAGGAGTGGTTGTATTCCATGCTGAAATCTGAGTAATGATGCTTCCAAACTCTACATACATGCTCTAATTATTGAAATTAATGAGGTATTCACAGCATAATCATGTGAATAAATCATATGCTAAATTACTTGCCATGGATTCCTCTCTTTTCACCTTCCTCTGTTTCAAAGTGCCCTTCCTTCCAGTCATTTTTTTATTTATCTTTGCAAATCAGAATTTCTATTTACATGATGTGCCTAATGATATTTTAACTGTTTTATTGAGATATAATTTATATACCACATAGTTCTCATGTTTAATGTATATAAACCAATGGTTTTTAGTATATCTCCAATTGTATTTGGTAAGTCCTTTTATCTACAGACTTAAATCTTTCTTCCTCTTTTACTTCATCTCTTCTTTTTTTCTCAATTTTGAACCTTATTACTTGCATGGTAGTACTCTTGGAATTATCTTCTATCTGTCTTATATTTTCTGGATAATTTTCTCCTTGTACTTGTGTCTAATTGGGCTCTTTTCCCCACCTGCTCTTCCAGATTATGTATTAATATTCTCAACAGTGACCAGCCTCTTTCAACTTATCTATTAAATTATAAACTTAAAAATTCATGATTTACATTTTTTAAATAATATAATGAGATTCTCTTGCCTAATATTATTTTCATATTTTTCATATAATGCTCTCCAAAATTCCCTGCAAGGTGCTTTCTTTGGCTTCCATTCTGGTCTCTGGATTCCTCAAAGTGAGGTGATGATAAGGATGATCTCCTGAGCATGGCTCAGCATGACCTCATCTGTAACATTCAATTGTTCGGTTTGCCAACCCTTGAGAATCCAGTGAGTAGTGGAAGACAGCAGTTTCCACTGCTGCAAGTTGGTATAAGCCCACCAACACACTGCTATGACTCTCCACCCCAAGTGGGAACCTCTCACCACCTTGGGAATTCAGAGCAAACTTTGCCTCCAAAGTTGCTCCCCTCTGTCCTGCAAGACCTGGATCATCAGGCAGTTTCTCTCCTAGATCCATAAAAGTGATATGCACCAACCTTCTGAAAGGGAATTCATGAGAATTTAAGTTTCCCCTCAGGTGTCTCTGCCAAGTGCCTCTTGAAAAGTTAGACCTTAATAGGCTACAAAGTGTTTCCCTTGGGAAAACAAGAAGCTCATTCTCTCGGCTTCTCAAGGTAGCAGTCTGAGAGAGGTATCAACGAGGACCTTCACTCTGAAAGAGATCCAGGTCTGGAGCACCTGGAACTATAACTTGGGGTGCACAATCCTTGCCTCCACCCCCATGCATATAATTGCCCCTCCTCCATATCACTGGGTTCTCTGTGAACCACAACCCAATCTCTTAAGTACCAACTCTGGCACCTGCCCTCCCTTCTCATCATTCCCAAATCAATTCTCCTGCCAAATTGGGTGAGTCTCATAGACATGGGGGTCCTGCTTGGCACCGGAAGGATTAGAAAATGAGGATACTTTGGTATGAGTGAGGTCTCTGGATTATACTGTGGAGATTTTGAATGCTAAATGGATTCTAGCATGGAAGTTCTCTCAGGTAATTGAGAAATGCAACACACCCACTTGCGCACATTCAGATTCTGTCAGACGTTGGATGTATTTATTTCTTAGTTAAATTAGCAATATATTATCCTTTTCTCCATTTCTGGTAAAGTTAAAAGAGGGCAATTAGCATCTTTCTTAAGGATGTCAGGGAATCGAATAAAGCTGGGAAGGACCTTGTAGGGAGGAATAAGAGGAAACTCAGGTCTCGGGTCCTCAGGTCTGCTTCCTCCCTGAAGGATGTGGCACTCCAGCTCAGGGGCCACTCAGGAAATTCTATCTTCCACTCATCTCCATGGCCACGGGGGATACTGGTCTCCTCCGGAACCAGTTAGGGCTCCAGCTAGGCCTGTGGGAGACTGCATGATTCTCTGGAGGGCTTGGGCCACGGTAGGTACCATGGGGGTAGTAGAAAGCTGTGTCTAAGATGTTTCTCAGGGACAGGTAGTTTCTCTAGAAAAAGAAGAGACAGTTGTTTCAGAATCATACTCAAGTCTTCACCATGGACTCCTTTAGAATCATCTCCCTCTTTCACCCATCTCTCTCAGCTAACACTCCTCCCTCCAGTATGTAGTCCTTTTCCAGCACCCTTTTCTCATAGGTCAATGGTTTTCTATGCACATTGATTGGCTCTTCTGGTTCCAACTTGTTATTTTTATTTGTAACTCTCTTGATCTCCATTTCTTCCTTACTGGCCCCTGACCAGAAATTTCTGCTGTTTATTCTGTTTCCTTATATTCCTGCTGCTCCTCCCCCCAGGTATTAGGCACTCACCATACAAAAGAAGATCCCAGCAAAGAGCCCCACAGCCACTACAATTGAGACGAGGGTGATGAGGAAGATTTCCCAAGGCTCCAGGGACCCACTGGGCTTCACCTCATTCACTGGAGTAGTAATACTTGTACTAATTCTGTAGAAAGTTGTGTGTATTCCAGATGAAGCAGGTGTGGTAGAGACTTTGGAGGTTGCATTTGATCCAGGGTTGGAGGTTGTGTTCATCCCACTGGAGGTCACACTGAATCCAGTGTTGATAGCTGTGCTGACCTTATCAGATGTTGCACTGGACACTGCATTGGGGGTTATGCTTCCCTCACTGGAAGTCAATGTGGATGTGGTGTTGGGGATTGCACTGGTCTTAACAGAGGTTGTAATGGATGCAGTGTTAGAGGTTGTGCTGGACCCACTGGAGGTCACTCTAGATCCAGTGTTGATAGCTGTGCTGACCTCATCAGAGGTTGCACTAGAAACAGTGTTGGAAGTTCTGCTGCCCTCACTAGAAGATGATGTGGAAGCAGTGTTGGGGGTTGCATTGGTCTCAACAGAGGTTGTAATGGATATGCTGTTAGAGGTTGTGCTGGCCCCATTGGAGGTAAAATTGATTGCAGGGTTGAAGGTTGTGCTGGTCCTATCAGAGTTCAATGTGGTTCTAGGCCTGGAGATTGTATTGGCCCTACCAGAGTTTGCAGTGGAAGTAGTGTTGGAAGTTGTGTTGGAGATCACACTGGATCCAGTGTTGGCAACTGTGCTGTTTTCACGGGAGCTCACTCTGGATACACTATAGGAGATTAAACTGGTTCCTCCAGAAGTTGTACTGGATCTAGCATTGGATGTTACAGTGGTGGTTTGGTTGAATGTTGAGCTGGTTGCCATGCGGGTAGATATGTCAGAGGCAGTTGAGGTTTCACTGGAACCTGTGTGGGCAGATGTGCCTGTAACACTTGTGGTTATTACTAAAGATAAGTAATAACAAATATATGTAAAGCATATACACTTCCTGCTCAATGGTTAGTTAAATTCATTACATGGATAATTGTATTTAATGCTCCCCACAGCCCTTCAGTGTAGATATTATTATTATCATCAGCTAAGGTAAAGAAACTCAGGATTAGAAATGGTGGTGGTTGTCCAAGTTTATATAGTAGGATTCATGAAACAGGAAGTTGAATCCAGGCTATTGAATTTGTATTTAGCTAAGTCACTCTCTCCTTCTCATCCCCAATGTAAGAGTTACATAACATAGGCTTACTCATAGATAAACTTATTCCATATTCTGCTATAGAAGATTCACTACAGATAAGAAGTATCATAAAGGAAGTATACAGCTAGGGCATGTAAAGCTCAGTGACAAAGCTTTTGCCCAGCAGGTGTGAGGCCTTAGATTTGGTCTCCAGCTCTGCAAAAAGAAAAATAGGTAATCCAGGATTAGGTGACACTAATATGTATAGATTTATTATTTCTTTTTCCAGTACAGGGGATTGATCCAAGGGCCTCATGCATACTAGAAAAGCCCTCTACCACTTAACTATATACTTAGCCCCTTTTAAAATTTTATTTTGAGACGAGCTCTCACTAAATTGCACAGGTTGGCCCCTAATTTGTGATCCTCTTGCCTTCAACTTCCGAGTCACTAGTTACAGGAGTGCACTACCACACCCAGTTTGATTCACTCTAAAAGTAGTATTACTTCCTTCTTAGAAAATATTTCTCTGAATATTTCTCAGAAAACACCCACATCAGATCACCTGGGAGAGCTTGCCAAAAATAAGACTCCCAGCCTCCAGACTAAATGAATCAGTTTGACATGGGGCCCAGGTTTCTGCATCTTCAGAAGAGCCAGGTGATTCTTTATACATCAATGTTCCAGAGACTCCTGATCACTATGCAAAGGCCAGAGAATAAGTTATGTGCAACATAAATGCATAAGATCTCCCAAAAAGAAGGGCTGTCAACTAGAGTCTACAGGCATAGGGAAGGTCTCCAACTTCTTGCAGGATCACCTAGAGTTTAGGCTGTGCCTACCTTTTGCTCCTCACTACCCTGAAGATAAGGATACATAGCTTCCAAAATTTATTTTCCCATCTCATTTGTGGCTTATTTTACTACTAACTTGATCATGAGTTCCCAGCACCTCACCCTGCCTGTCAATTTTTAAAAAAAAAAAAATCTTATTTAAACAAACAAAGGATTAGAGTTTTTAGCTCTACTTGGGTAGGTCCTAAAAAAAATTCATTGTAGTACAAATGAGTGTTAAGGTCCAAATAATAAGTAAACTAAATAAGAAAATGGAATGACCAAGAGTATAGGTGACACGTGAAAGAGGAAGAGGATTTAATATAAAAGTTTTGGAAAGCAAAATAAATGAATCAAAATTATTGGGAGCCTAAATTTGGTTCACTATGATGAATATTCTGTTTCCCATCTGTGCAACAGGAGGTAGCCCATGAAGTGTTTGATAGAGTATCAGAGCTGCAGAAATGTGGTTCTTACATCTTATTCTCCTTGGTCTGAATCTAATTTTGGCTGATGTGAAATCAAGGTTAGCGACAGGAGAGAAATTGAGTTTGAAGAATACTGAACAACAATATTTAAAAATACCCAACACTTTCTGTTCTTACTTAAATCTCCAACCATATCACACAGGTTATTAATTTCACAGATGCATAAACAGAGGCACAGAGAAACAACTCACCCAAAGTACACAATTAATATAGGGAGCCAGGATTTAGGTGTAGGCAAGGTGAGAACAAAGCCCAAAGTTTTCACTACTGTATGATACTCTACTCTGCTGATATGATTAGAGTAAAACAATGATGATTCTTCTATGAATAACTAGAGCTAGTTTCAGTAGTAATTACTCTCACAACTCCTCAAAGGTTCTCATCCAATCCACCTTTAAATAAAATCACTCACCATCTTCCAAAAGTAGGAGATGCAGTAGCAACCAACAGAGGAGAATGTTTCTTTTCTGCATCTTCATCTGCTCCTGTGGCTGGAAAGCAAGAATCCTGGAACCCAGAAGTAACCAGGACTTAGTAGACAAAGAACAGAAAATTCTGGGGAAAGAAGAGTTCAAGGTAAAGAGATAAAGCCTGGAGTTTCCAAGAGCTTGGATCTCCTAGGTATGTATTCTTGGAAAGAACCTTGAGCTTGGGGATGGATGGATGGATGCCTGGGTTCCTTAAGCTTCTTCTGTGTGATGTTGTTGCCTGCTTCTCTATTGTGGAAGTGCTGTAGGGGCCTTTATAGCTTTATTTGGGCAGGGTAAGGGCTGGGCAGTTGTCCTGACAGTCTGCCAATTGTGAGCATGTGAAAAGCAATGCTGAGCCTGGGAAGGAATAGACCACACACACAAAAAAAAGGTAAGAGAATGACATGATCACACTAGGCAGGTCACTAAGCTGGGTGGCAGCAGAAAGCAGAAAGAAGAAGTTCAAGGTTGTTAGAGTGAAAAGGATCCACCCTCTGTGCCAGGGATGGAGTTAGAAGTTTGTTTTAGCTCAGGACTTTGTTTCCTAGTCAAAAAGTCCTGTGGGCTGACTTTAGCATAGAAAAAGCCAGATGAACCCAGCTGAGGGGCAGGACTCCACATCTGTAAAGCATATGAAACTCAAAAAAGAGTAGCAACTAAAAATCTGGGCTCCTGAGTTACAGTTGGAGACAGATGAAATGTTGTTGGATACAAAATAGGCACTCAACAATGCACACTGAATCAACAGAGGAAGAGAGATCCAGGGTTAATTAAGTCATCCTTGGGGTCTTTGTCCATTTTGTGTTGCTGTAATACCTGAGGCTGGATACTTTAACTGAAAAGAGGTTGATTTAGCTCACAATTTTGGAGACTTCAAAGTGCAAGATTGGACAATCCTATTTGCTCAGTTCTGGTGAGGGCCTTCTGGCTACCTCCCAACGCAGTAGATGACATCATGGTAGAAGCGTACATGAGAGGGAAAGATCACATATTAAAATATGAAGAGATTCAGAAGAGATGCCAGGTTCTCCTATAACAACATGCTTTACCCAGACTGAGAATGCATTCCTGAGAGCAAAGCATTAATCTCTCTTAAAGACCTAATCAACTCCCTCTAGGCCCCACTTCTTAAAGGTTCTACAACCTCTCAATATTGCCACATTGGGTCCAAGCCTCGGCATGTGAAACTTTGGTACAAACCACATAAGAACCATTGCAGTGGGCTGGGGTTGTGGATCAGCAATAGAATGCTCGTCTAGCATGTGCAAGACCCTGGGTTCGATTCTCAGCACCACATAAAAATAAATAAACAAAATAAAGGTATTGTGTACAAAAAAAATAAATATTTAAACAAACAAAAAAAAACATAACAGATGGTACGGGGCTATATAGCTATGGTAGTGCACTTGCTGGTATGTGTGAGGCACTGAGTTCAATTCTCAGCACCACATATAAACAAATAAATTAAATAAAGGTCTATCAACAACTAATTTTTTAAAAAAAAAAAAAAAAGAGCCACAGTAGAGCTGGTCATGGTGTAACATGCCTGTAATCCCAGCAGCTCAAGAGGTAAGACAGGAGAATCACGAGTTCAAAGCCAACCTCAGCAACTTAGTGAGGTGCTAAGCGACTCAGTGAGACCCTGTCTCTACTTAAAATAGGGCTAGGGATGTGGCTCATGTTGAATGCCCCTGAGTTCAATCCCTAGTACCTCCCCCACAAAAAAGTCAACAGCACTACATGGAAGAGACATCTCCCTCCCACTCCCTCTAGAATTATTTGGAGGAAGAGCTCCTGGATTTAAGTCCAGATTCTGCCTTTTAGAAGCTACACTAAAAATTGTAACATGCATGCAGATAAGAGTCTAAATGTAATTCATATCTTTATTGTTCTTAAAAACAATACAAGACCTTAGAACACTTCAATTCTTATATTCATCTCCCCAAAATACCCTATTGCCATCAAGTATTTTCATTCTACCTTGTTTTTTAACTTCATGAGAGATTATTGTTGGTTTACAGCCAAACATAGTTGCACAGCTGCATGAAGCTGCAAGGGAGCCTGGGAAATAAAATCTTTGTTGGGACAGTCATGTTTTCAATTGAAACTTAAGCATTCTATTGCTAAAGATGGAGAATGGATGTGCGTGAGCAACCATAAAGCTATGATAGGCATTTAAAACTACTTACTTTATATTCTGTATTCAATTGACCCAAAGTCCTTGTGGATCTGACTTTGCTTTGTTTTTGTTGCTTTTTTGTTGTTGTTGTTGTTTCCTTGTTGGTTTTCACTCCTAGTATCTGTTTTTAATTTGTGATTTGAGATTTATGAGTATAAATCTTCTTGGGATATTATCTGCAAAAGTCCTTTAAAGGCTGTGATGAAGCCATGATTCTCCAAAGAGAATTTGTAAGGTTTTCCCAACATACAGAAGTATTATCATATTTAAAGGATTCTTTAAGTTGGATTGTAGGAAGGAAATATTTTGTATTACCTATATTGCATGATTCAATCTACAAACCATGGAAATATTGTCATGGTTACTCCAGAGATATTTCTCCCATCTTACCCTGCATCAAGCTGAGAGACAAGTGATTTTGCTTATGTTTCCATAGAGGAGGGGTGAGTTTATTTTTAGTTTATATTCTCAGTGAAGCTTCCAAATTTAAATGAGATCTACTACTAGATCCTCCACTTGAACTGGTCCTACTGAAGCTCTGATTGCTGAAGCTTCAGTTTCCTGGATTTGGCAAAACTGACTTCAGTACTCACCTTTCTTCCTTGACTTCTTCCTTTAACTTAGATTTAAATTTTAACATTCTTTGTTTTGCTGTCGACTCACTAATTCCTTTAAGAAGGTATTTTAGTCCATCATTTTTAGTTTACGAGGACATTTTCAATTAGGACACCTACTGTATCATATAGCCAGAAATTTAAGATCTCATTGGATTGTTTTGAGGGGAAAAATGATTTAAGGGCATTAGCATGGTATTTGTCACAGAAAAAGTAAGTAATAATAAAGGATAAAAGAAAAAGAAAAATACAAACCCAAAAACATAAATACATAGATGGCAAGTATATTTGGGGATTTTAATTGTAACACTGTCCCATTGAATTTCTCCTTAATTGTCACATAGCATTTGGAAGAGACAAAGAAGTAGGGAGGAATAATCATCCCAAAGATGAAGACACAGGAGGCACTGAGAAGATCTAAGATGGTTTTGGATCCATTTATGTCTTAGTCCGTTTTGTGCTGCTAAAACAGAATACCACAAACTGAGTAATTCATATGGGAAAGAAATGCATCTCTCACAATTCTGGAGGCTGAGAAGTCTAAGATCAAGGCACCAGCAGGGTTGGTGTCTGGTGAGCACTCAGTCTCTGTTTCCAAGATGGCACCAACTTGAACACTGCATCTTCCAGAGGGAAAGAATACTGTTCTTCATATACCAGAAGAGCTAACCCATTCCCACAAGCTCTTTTTATAGCAACATTCATCCATTTGTGATACCTAAGCCCTCACCGCCAAAACACCTTCCATCAGGGCCCCCTCTCAACACTTGCATTGGGAATTCAGTTTCAACATAAGTTTTGGAAGGGACAAAAAGATTCAAACCATAGCAACTTTTTTGTATAATTATAAGCTATAAACCCAAAGAAAGAATATTGTGCAATTACAAATTCTTAGGGAATATTCTTACCCACTGCCTCTACTGATTGTCAAGTTTAGGAACAGATATAGTTTAACCATATGCTAAAGGTTTATCCTTTCAGATCTCAGATTTGGTTAAGAGCTCCTAGTAGACTCCACTTGTCTGCAGGTCCTGAACTTGGTCTCCTGCACCCTAAGCACTAAGAAACTCTCAGAAGATAAGCTCAAAATCACCAGTTTGGCTGACTCCTCGATGCAAAGAGCTCTCCTTAAGTCTTTTCTGTTTTCTTTTTGCTTTTCTTTTTTTTTTTTTTTTTTTTTGCACCAGGGATTGAACCCAGAGGTGCTTTATCATTGAACTACATCCCAAACCCTTTTTGTCTTTTATTTTCAGACATGGTCTCACTATGTTTCTTAGGGCCTTAAGGCTGACATTGAACTCACAGTACTCCTGTTTCAACCCTCCCAGTTGCTGGAATCCTTAAGCTCTTTGAGTCTCTGCCTTCTATCAGTTGTTGATCTAAATATTACCTAGTACCTATTCAGATAATTGACATGCTTACAAGGTTTCTTTTCAGCACAATAGTCATTGCTTTCATGCAAGAAGTGGTTAAAAACTTTGTCCACTATATTACCAGGAAGGCAGGAGTTCTCAAAGGATCATTTTGATCATTAAATGATAGTATATTTATTGAGAGTGGAGGGGTGATGCCCAGCACTGCAACAAAACAAAAACAAACAAAAAGAGTAGCCCACAGGTTATGACTTACATATGAGAAATGAAAGAAAAATTATTCTGAGGCTGATCATGTGACCACCCACCCCCAAGAGGTTCTAAACCATGGTCAATCTCAGGGAATATTTTTACTTGTGCTCATGTCCAAACCTGGTGAGGCCATAGGTCTCCTCCAGTTTCTCCCCAACTCTATGTTTTCCTGGCTACTATGTTGGCCAAACCCTCCGTAATTTTTTCTCTGATATTTCTCTTGACCTTGATCATGATTATCTCTGGGGTCAATTCCCTGGAGACCTTGGGGAATCCCATCTTGATCCATTGTACGGTCACTACCTTCCTCTCCATGATGTCCTTTCTCCCCAGGGTTTACTTTCCCATGGCTCCTTCCATTATCCAGTTTATGTCCATACTCTTTGCCTTGGTCACCTCCTCTTTGATACAGTTCATAGCTAGTGCTAAGGGCTTTTCCATGCCCGTGAATCCTGCTGTGGTCCATCCCATAACATTCTCTGCAGCTCCATTCATGGCCCACTCCGTGTCCAAAGCCATGTGCTCCTGCAGGTCCAGTCTCAAGTCCCCCTCCGTGAACTGGTACATTTCCCAAGCTGTGGGACATTCCAGTACCCAGGCCTGAGTCCAGGTTCAGACCAAGCCCAAAGCAGTGATCATGGGGGTAATAAATGCATCTATTCATCAGAGGGAAATAATAATCCTTCTAAAAGAGAAAAAAGAAAAAAATAGAGTTACATCCTTTCCCATATGATTTAAAGTTTCTTGTTTTGTAAAACATCTAAAACTTCACTTTTTAAAAAATTTTTAGTTGTAGATGAACACAATAACTTTGTCTATCTATTTATTTATTTATTTTATGTG